TTTTGAGAGAATAATTTCTAGTTTTAGAGAGAGAGAGAAGATGAAGGAAGAAGAAGAGGATAAGAAGGAGAAGGAGCTAGAAGAGAGGAGGCATCTTCCTCAACCTCAAGTCTTTTTCAATTTCTTGTATGTATCTTCTTCTCTCCTTGATAGAGTAGTCCTCTAGGTACTAGGGGTTCTAAACCCCAAACCCTAGTTTTAGGGTTTACTATGTATGTATGGATATTTTAGGGTTTCAATGAATGAATGTGTCTATCTAGTTTATTCTATTGCTATTATATCCTTGAATGTGTTTGGGTAAGTTGCTCCAATCTTCTCTATTAGCCTACTTTATGTTTCTACGTTGGGTATGGAGTTCCATGGTTAGACGGGTATGCGCCATCAAGAAAATTAAGGTAGATGTATGAATGGGGGCGTATAGTGGTCGAGGCGACCGAACCCCTGCTATAGTTAGCCTTCCTAGATAGAACCCGTGATGAAGCCTCGGTGTGGACGATGGATTTATCCATCGAAATGATCTACGAGCTTAATGAACCACATACGATAGCCTAGATGGAGGTGACTTATATGGGTTAAGGGATCTCACTCACCACATTCGACAACCCTAAGTATATAGACATGCATAGTATCCCTAGGCTATGGTGAGGGATAGTGCCCCGAAGTACCTGCTTTTAGCTTGAATCAATCTCTAAACTAGCAACTCTCTCATATCCTCCTCTCAAATCTCCAAAAATGATTAACTAATTAACAACGAGGTGGGAAGTAGACTAGGGTACCAGGACCCGAGTAAAATACGACCTTGATTACCACTATACGACAATGTCATGTTAGGTTAAACTTGGCTTAAGATGGGGTAATTTTTGACACGTACTAACCATTGACGATAATCTGCATGGATCAAAGCGATCATGATCACAGTCGGATTAAGAACTCTGGAATAGATTGTAAGAGATAAACTCAATGAGGTTATTTATGTGGCCACTAATCTAGAGATTGTTTGGAATGGTATGAGAATTTTCTATATTATAATCTTGAAATCTTGAAGAAGATAGGCCTTTTACAGTAAGGGAATGAAGGGTTGACATTTGATGACCAGCAAACATTCTAAGATGATAAGAAATAGTAATAGCATGGGGAGGGGTACTAGGATGCCATTTGGGGAAAATTTTGGTGGTTACAATGAGAGGGGACATGTGTACATTAATCTTTTCTTCTAGTGATTAAATATAACAAAAAAATGAATTTAACCAATTTGATTTGCTTAGTCTAAATGTTTGTTGGCTTGTTTAATGCCTAGTTGGAGTTTGGTTTTGCGGGTTAACCCACAACCCAACCGCACTCATCTGTCATCCATCCAACCCAAACTGAAGAAGAATGCGAGTGGATAACAGATCATAATTATACCAAATCTCTAGTAAGCGGGTGAGTCAATTTGAAACCAAAAACACCCAACTCACCCAATGCCCACCCTACAAAATGCATTTAGTATAAAAATGCATACATTTACTAGGTGTCTTTATTGACATTTGTATCCATTCATTAATTAATTAACATTTTATCCCAATGAGGAAACACATATTAATTATGCATAAGTTTGGCTTCAATCAATAAACCCCAACAATAATTAGGCACCCGCGTTCCTTGGACATTTTTTGTAGGCGCACTCCTACCAATAATGCGGTTGTTGTGGAATGGAGAGCTATCAGTTCCGATCACGCCTACCATAGGAGTCTTCCAGGGAGCCCCCAATACCTTTTCTCTTTGTTATGTGTACGAAGCGACTTTCGCATAGAATTTATCAGGCCATCGAGGACAAGCTTTGGGAACCCCTAAGATTGTCTAAGGCTGGTCTTCCTCTATCACACCTTTTTCTTTTGCAGATGATCTGATCTTGTTTGCAGAAGCTGAGAGGGCACATGTTCTTATCATCAACCAGTGCCTTGGCGAATTTTTCCATAGCACAGGTCAGCGGGTTAACTATAACAGTGCGGAGATTCCTCTGAAGGTGGTCCTACTGCGATATCTGGGTGTAATGGCGATTCATGACAGAGTGACCAAGACATGCTGCTTAGGATTCAGAAGAAGCTCACCCTGTGGAAGGCTAATAATCTCTCCCTTGCATATCGAATTACTACTGTTGCTGCTTCTATTCCTATATATCCTATGCAGACAGAACTCCTGCCTATTAGTATCTATAAGAGTCTGGACCAGATAAATAGGAACTTCATATGGCATGATACAAAGGAGAAAAAGAAAATTCACTTAGCCGAATGGCCTCAACTTACGATGTTGAAGAGTAATGAAGGTTTGGGGCTTGACTAGCTAGGAAAATGAACCTGTCTATGTTGGTAAAAGGGGGGCTGGCGGCTTCTACAAGAAAAAGAGGCCTTATGGGTGCAGTTAACTCAAAGCAAGTATAGAAGAGGACGAGAGCACCTTGAGATCCTGAGGCCAGTTCAAGGAAGTTACTTTATCTGGAATAGTATTGTCAACGCTGCCGATCTGGTTAGGGAAGTGCTTGGAATATCCATAAAGGAAACCTTACAAAGTTTTGGACTGATGTATGAATTTTGTATGTACCACTTTTAGAGATGGCAACGAGGCCTATTCATGATGAAGGCGGAGATGCTAAAGTATCTGAGTTTGTGGACGAAAAAGGCTGAGATACTAAAGCATTCGCACTGTATCATTTGGCTAGGGGCGATGATGTTCTCTTTTGAAATCTCACCTCGTATGGGAGATTCTCAACCAAAAGATCTTTTCCCATGATTCACCACTACCCCACCAACTCATATCAATATTGGTGGAAGTCAATCTGGAAGTTACCTGTACCGAAAGAGTCCGCTGCTTTGTCTGGCTAGTGCCGCACGGGAGAATCAGCTGTAATGAGGAGATAAAGAATAGATGTATGACCCAAGATCCCTACTGCTAAATATGCTCTTCCCATGACAAAACCATCCCCCATAGTAGTGCCCCCCCCCCTCCCCCGCGACTATCATGTGGGCTCGTACAGTTCTGTAGAGCTTCAACAAGAGTTTTTCAGCCTTCCGACGGAGCAATGGCTGAGAGATAATCTGAAAAGAAAAGATGCCACCCCGACAGGAGTCGCATGGAATTCATCTTTCAAAATTGATCTTTGGTGTCTTTGGAAGAACATAAATGAAGGGGGTATTCAGTGGAATTGGTAAGACCCTCTCCCCATCTCTCACGCAGGCCGTTCAGATCAAGACGATGTGTGGTACCAAACATTGACAGCCCTGGTAGCCATTTGTGGGAAGAGGAGTCCACCTTTCACGCGCATTGCTGCAGACATATAGTGGCATCCTTCTCCCCTATGGTGGGTTAAAATGAATGTGGACATCGCAACTAGTCGAATGGGATGAGTTGCTAACCCCTTGTGGGGTTAGTACCATACTAACTAGTTTAATAACCATTAGATTAAAAAGTAATCCTAGCACCACACTCTCTCAAAATATCAGAATCCCATCTTCTTATTCTCTCTCTCTAAAGAAACTCCCATCTCAGTTGATTGCACTCCCCGTTCGACTGTGCTTCTGTCGACCTTAGCCGTGTTGGCCTCAGCCTCGCCCATAACGAACTCGCCATCGTCCGCAACTGCCTCATCTCCAGCCACATTACCCTCTCGTCATCGCCTACAACCCATTATCGTTCCCACCCTTTCTGCCGCCGTTCCCCAGCGATGGCGATCTCGCAAGAGTCTCTAACATAGGTGATCTACACCCCCTCGACAACTTGGAGGACCAAATCAGCGACTCTCTTCCTTGTTGGATCTTAGCCCCCATCATCTCTCTACGTTCAACGGTGTTACAAAGAAAGCACAACGGTTTGCGAATTGTTCCAATATGTAGTAGTACTTTTCATATTTGTAATACTATTTTTTTTCCAGTTCGTGGTAACGATTCTCAATGACAATGTTTATAGTAGTACGGATTTTACACATCTGATAAAGGATTTATGATGTCGTAGTGGTTCTTGGGTAACTATTTTTTTCAAGATTTGTAATGATGGCTAATCGCTACACAAAAAATGTAAATAAAAATTCATAAATAAATACTAATGACAATTAAATCATTGCGAGAAAATTTCTAAATCACTACTGATGATAGTTTATCACTACAAGAAAATTTAAAATCGCTACTATAACCACCAAAACCACTACTAATTTAAGTAGTAGTATTTTTTAATGAACACCGTAGTAATATTTTCAGTAGTAATATCTTTCACGTAAAAGATATCTATTAAAAAGATAAGATTTATCACGGCTAGAAGATAACATGGAACCTCGGGTACAAATTTCTAGTTTTGGAATCAGTTTCTCAGACTGCCATTCAGCTGGTGAACAACAGATCAGACCCCCTTCACCCTTTTGTGACACTTCTATCGGATATCAGGTGTAAGATCTCTCGGGATTGAGTGGTGAAACTAACTCATATGTACCGAGAAGGGAATAGAGTCGCAGATTGACTCTCGAAGCACAATCTCGTCTACCCGTACTATATGTATGAGCAAGAGACACCACCCCTGAGAGTTCAACCTTTTCTCGAGGATGACGACAAATGAGTTACTTTTGCCAGGACCATTGTATCCCCCCACATTCCCATCTCTAGTGTAATCCCCTCTCCCCCCTACTCCATTCTGATTTCGTTGGCCTATCGCCTCCAATGTATGCAAAAACAAAACAAAAATTAATAGGTGTCTTTATTGACTATTTGTATCCATTCATTAACATTTTAGCTCAAAGAAAAAACACTTATTAATAGTGAATAAGTTCGGTTTCAATCAATAAACCCCAACAATAATCAGACACCTGCATTCTTTGAACATTTTTTGTAGGCCCACTTTTGGGGACAAATTGGTGTTGAATAAAGTCGGTTTGTGGCAGCATGGAGGACATGACGGATGAAGGAACAAAATTCATATAGTTGGGTTTATAATCTTCAAAATATCCTTCCGTGATACTCTCAAGGATTAGCAATTACATGATGAGCCATGAACGGGTCGACGTTCTTGATTGTCCTACTACTACGAGTAGCGCCGCCACTGTGAGATCCTTCGCGCTCTCTTCCGCTATGTCATTACTGGTCGACATCGAGTCCTGCTGGAATAATTTTTTCAACTTGTCCCATCTCAATGGTCACCTCCTCGTTGTCATGCGCAGTTTCACCCAAGGTGATGATGATCACTATCGCCGCATCACGTTCCACGTGTTCAAATTAGTATTTCCTGTAAAAGATGGTGGCAGTGGCGGTAATGAAGTTGTGGATTATATGAGTGGGAAGAAGTGAGGAGTTTAGATGGACATACTTTGTTCTTGGGTACCTCCCATCAGTCCATCATCTGCCTTCCTAGTACTCCATTCAGAGGTGACCGTATCTATATTGCGTTTTCGTTCTGCTATGGCTAATTCGATCTTGTGTATGGTTTAAGTATGGTCGTCTTGAATCAAAATGACTGTGGCGTCTTCAATCTTGTCGATGGGAAATTCGAAAGTTTTGCTAGTCGGAATGGTCACAATCAGAACTACTTTTGGTTCTTACCTATGCCCTGGCAAGTACTCTGGAGTACATAGAGTAGGGAAGGATCCTTCCCTACTCTATGCATTTTTTTCACCATATATGGCTTTCATAGGGCACTACAACAAAAGTTTGAGTTAGCGACGGTTATTTTGGTAGTTACCGGCGGTTAAATCGTCGCTAAAACATTTGTCGACGGTCACTTCAATGTCACTGACCCCACAGTCCTTAATTTTTTTCGCGGCAGTTCTCATCGGTGGTCGAGCTGTCGTCAGTATATTTTAGCTATGTATACACCATCATTATTTTAAACATAACCGTCCCTAATAATATTGTGCCCAAAAAGTATTAGACAAGTTAGGGTTATAGGTATAATATGCCCCTCTACTATGTAGTTTTATCAAACATGCCCCTAGACCATTTTTTTATATCAAACATGCCCTTCTACTTTGGAAAAATTATCAAACATGCCCTTCTGTTAAATTTTCCATTAAAAAAATCGCCAACCATGGTTGAACCGAGATGTAGATGACCCGACATCGGCAAATGAGAGCGAAAATGTCAGTTTTGTTCCCCATTTTATTTTTCTAGGTCTCGTTAAAGTGAAATTATTAGAGGTATTTGGCTCTACAAAAGAACCCAAAAAAAATTAAAGTGAAATTACCAAGGATATTTTAGACATTTGTGTCGCCCAAACCAAGGTACGACCATGATTGACTGTTTTTGGATGGAAATATTAACAGAAGGGCATGTTTGATCATTTTTCTAAAGTACAGTGGCATGTTTGATGTAAAAAATAATAGAGGGGCATGTTTGATAAAATGACATAGTAGAGAGGCATATTATACCTATAACCCGGCAAGTTAACAACGGTTTCGACCATCGCAACAAAGGAAACTGACCGTGGCTAAACTTGCTCATTATTTTTAGCCGCCTACCTGCTCACCCAGCCCTTTCTAGTTGTGATTTTTCTAACATTGTATGAGAAACCAATCTAATTAGTAGCTTCAAATAAACAATATATATAAGTCATCAATCAACATTCCTGCAATCAATATTCTATCAGTTTAAGGTTAGAAATTTTTTCAAAAGATCAAAACTATCATGTGTTTGAGCCTAACTGGGTGTAGGAGTGAGACTCGGGAAGATGGGTCAAGGAGAGAAAGCAAAGGGAGAACAACCGTCAACGAAAGAACTGAGGAAACTACGAAAGAACTGAGAGGGTGATATCTTAAGGAGAGAAGCTGATAATTCTTAGAGATAGAGTCAGAAAAATCCGATCCCCTCACCTACCGGAGTAAATGCCTTATTTATAGGCTACATGGTGGTGGGTGAGTTACATGGTGACATGTCATGGTGACATGACCACTGACATGTCAGAAGACTAGACCATACTCCTACCTAGGACAAGTACATTTAGTTTTTCATTATACCTAGGACTAGGACTGTGATGTGACCACTCGGTAGGTGGGGTGCGGCGTTGTTTTCCCATACTCGCTAATCTAGTCAACGCCGGACTCGGGCTGCCCTTGGAAGCGCCAGTGCCTGTGCGCCCGTCTCTTGGTATTGGCGCTCGCCGGTGTGCTTGCTCGCGCCAGTGCTGGTGCGCTCGCCGGTGTGCTTGCTCGCGCTGGTGCTGACGCGCCCGTCTCTTGGTGTTGGCGCTCGCCGGTGTGTTCGCTCGCGCCGGTGCTATCACGGGCAACTCTTCTGATATCGGTGTTTCTTTGGCGCGGCGGAATCCGAGTCACATGCTCAACAATTGCCCCCCATCAGGGGGTGTTCCGCGAACGCCACCTGTTTGACTTCCGTGCGATTGACTCGGGTCCGCGTGATCTTCGTGAGCGGTTTAGGATTGGCGTCCTCTGATTTCTGCGCGATCTTCGTGAGTTGAGGGCTGGTGGTTTTCTACTAAGCCTGGACTTTTGAGGGTGTGTTTTTTTGTTCCTCTCCGTGGGTGTGTCGTGCCCCCCTGGTGTTTTTAGGGCTGACGCCATTCGGTTTTCGCGCGATTAACTCGGATCTGCTTGATTCTCGGGGGGTTTTTTGGGCTGGTGATTTTTTGTTGTTGCGCGCGATTGACTTGACTGCGCGTGACGCCTTCTACTAAGCTTGGACTTTTGTGGGTGTTTTTTCTCTCTGCGGGTGTGCCATGCCCCCAGGCGATGCGCGGAACTTGTGACGTCATCGGCTAGTGCCTATGCCTATGTTAGGTGTCCACGTGTCCTTGTGTGGTTGGTTCGTTTTGGCGGCCGTTTTGAATTTCGAAAAGGCTCTGACGGTTGCGTTTTTCGAAACAACTTTAACCGTTCGGCTTCCGTCTCTCGGTTATAAATAGTTAGCCATCAGGGGAGTTGGAACCCATTTTGCCTCTTCCAACTCTGTTTCTTATTCTCTCTACGTCGGGTGTGTTCGAGATTCCTCTCCTTCTTCTACAACCTCTTTTCACAACCTGTTGTTGCCAAAACTGCAGAGTCTGCCATGGCTAATGTCAACGTCAACGAGATCGAGGTCGTACAAGGCGAAGAAGGTAATCTCTCCTCTCCCTCGCGTGTTTCTACTGATCCTTCGTTGGATCTTGCTGATTTCGGCAACGGGGACGACGGCGGTGCGGCGGCGGTGGGTCTCCGGCGACGCCGTCTTACGACGTCGATCGGGAACTGGACTACCGAGACTCGTCCGATTTGGATGCGACGGTGTCTGAGAGTGGGTCGTCCGGCACCGGTGCTCGTGGCGTGCTGATAATCCGCCGCGACCGGGCGGGTGTGTCTGGGAGCACGAATCGTGAAGCGCGGGAGAAGGCTGACACGCAATCAGGGCCGCGCTGTATCGCGCGCGTATCCGAGGCGTTTAGCCACCTAGGGTTCCGCGGTGTGGGCGCGGCGTACAAGATAATTGATTGGGTAGAAATGTGGGGCGATCAGCCAGCACCGCAAGACAGTCTATTAAGGGGGCCCGATCATGCGTCAATCTACGGGCAGAAGGAAGTGACGGAGATATTGCGCGGGTTAGGTTTGCCCCCCATTGGGAGTACGCGATTCATTCCACGCGGAGTACTGTTGGTAATTGCCCCCCAGGTTGGATCGGGGTGTATACCTAGTACTGGGTGATGGGGTTCAAGTTCCCCATTGACCCGCTGTTATGCGCGATATACAGGCGGCTCAAATGCTCGGTTGGTCGCCTTTCCCCTTCAATTATTATGCACGCGAGTTGCCTCCGCCTCGCGTGCAAGAGGCTCAATATCCCGCCGTCCTACGGGTTGTTCCGTAAGATGTACAAGATCAAGGAGCCGACAAGAAGGAGTGATTGTCTCTCCATCAGGCGGCGCGACAAGAGGCCCGACGGTTTTGTGTATGGGTCTCCTATGTTGAAGAAGACTTGGTTCGAGCGCTTCTTCTACGTTAAGCCCACGCCGGGGGAGTGGGCGAGTGAGCACATGGAGGAGCCGACGGTTTGGAAGAAGGGTAGCACGTACGGCTACGAGCGTGACCTAGGCAAATATGACAGGCTCGACGCTAAATATGAAGCGTGCCTGAATCAGAAGTTTAACCTTTATTTGGGCGGGGTCCGCGAAGCTTGTTTGGCGGAGCTCTTTGCTGATGGTTAGTTGCGTCTCTTTCCTTATGCATTCTATCATATTAACCACTCGCTTACGATTTATTGGCGCAGGTGTTGACTTCTCCAGCCTAGTCAGCATGATGTCGGTGGACGACATGGTCGGCAAAGCTCCGTGGGCTTCGCGTGGCGGAAAGAGGAAGTCGAAGGAGACCGCGCCGTCTGAGCGCGTGAAGAGGAAGGGGGTCGAGCAGCCATCGGTGGCGGAGAAACCCCGCAAGGCAGCTCGGGTTGACCCTCAACCTGAACAGGTGGTTGAGCAGGCGGCTCAACCTGAGCAGGTGGCTGAGCGGGCGGCACAACAGTTGCCGCTCGTGATTGTGGATGGGGACGCGCCCGGTGCGCGAGTGGATGCGGCTTCACGTCCAGAAAAATCAGCGGCCGGAAGCTCGTCTGGTGCGACGCTTTAGCAGAAGCTGGCCGAGATGGCTTCTGCCATCAACTACTTTCGCGACGTGCGGATCCACACCGGCGCGGCGTGCAATAGTGTAGCAGCAAATACCGCGCTCTGCGCGTTGGGGCCTCACCTGAGTACCCCTGCGCGGATGGAGAAATCTGATCCGCTGCAAGACCTGGCTCAGATTCATTTCGCGGTGAGGTTATTTTTGATTGCTTCGACGTAATGTGAAATCCTTGCTAATTTTTGCTAAGTCTTGGGGCGCTTGTGAATGTAGGGTTTGCTGACGGCCTTCCGGGCCCAAAAGGAACGGGGTTCGCACCACGCGAAGCTGCAGGAGGAGCAATCGAAGATTGTTCAGCTGGAGGGCAAGCTCGCGGGTGCTCAGAATCGCGTCGAGGTGGCAACAACCAAGGCCAACGAGGCCATGGAGGAGCTCGGCGTTCTGCAGAGTAAGCTGGCGTCAGATGTGGAGGCTGCCACGACGCGCGTTCGGGCGGAGTTGGAAGCAGATCATGCTGAGAAGCTCAAGCAAGCCCGCGAGGAGTTTCAGAAGGAGAAGGACGACCTGGTTCACCTTCATAACGTTGCGAAGGCAGAAGCTGTGCGCGCCGCTGAGGTCGCTGTCGTCCGTCAATAGAAGTCTTCACCCGCCTTCGGGAATATTTTGGTGGATGCCATGACTAAGACCGTGATTGACTTTCTCAAAAAGGTGCGTCCGGAGAACCCGGGGGTCCGCTGGAACACTGGCGCGATGGTG